TTAATGTAAAACTAAGAATATTATTCACTTTGGAGCCAGAGTCTTCAATCTACTTTTGGTGCCAACTTGGTCCAGGTAATCATCAAAAAGAGTTGATGACGACTTTTTTTATAATTGTTTTCTGTAGCTATTATAATATAATTACAAAGCTAAAACATATTATTAATAAAAGTCTAAATTGTAAATATTTATCTTTAATATTAAAAAAAAAATTATTATAAAGATTATATATATTTAAAGATTATGTACTTATAAATAATATACTTATAAAATAATTATTATAAATATAAAGACTATAAACTTTGAAATTTTTAAAAAACTAACTTAAATTATTAAATATTTATAAATAAAAAATTTTAAAATTAGAATTGTTTATTAAAGTTATAATTATAAGTTTAAAATTACTTTTATAATTATAAAGATGCTTTTAATTTAATTGAATGTAAATTTATTTTAAAAGTAAATAGAATTTTTTCTTATATAATTTAAAAAAAATTAAAAAAATTAAAAAAATTTAACAATATATGAATAATATTTTTTTAAATAATATATTTTAAGTTTATAACTATCTTTTAAACTATTTGGTTTAACAAATAAATTTGCTTGCTAAAATAATTAAATAAAATAAAATATAGAAAAAATATTTTATAAAAATATTTATTACAACCAATTATGCTAATTTTTAAAAACTTAAACTATATATTATATTTAATAATTGAACTATATATTATACTTAATAATTGCAATATAACATACTTAAAATAATTTAAACAAAAAATATAGAATTATATAATAACTATAAAGTATATTATTTTATCTAAATTTTTAAGTCACATTATCTTTCTTGCATTGTTCCCAAAATCAGTTCTATGAAGTTGGTTGTAAAGAATTTTTAATCAATTTTAATATTATATTATAAAAGATACTTTTACATAATAATCATAAAAATATTTTATAATTGTTATATTAAAGTATCTTTTTTACTATTAAATTTGATGGTAAAAACTATAGCACAATCAACTACATTTAGTTGATTTTAGAAGTAATGCTAAGAAAATTTCTCAAGACAAGAATTACATAACATTTAGCATGTAGTGCACTTTTATTTTAACTTAGAAAAATATAAAATGCATCTTAATAAAATTTAGAACAATTGTACAAAAATTTGTTAAAAAAAATTTTAGTAAACAAATTTGCCCACTAAACGGTTTAAGGGATAAAAATAAAAATTGGTCACGGTTCTAAAAAGTTTCACAGGGAGATATATGTAACTTTTTATTGTACCATGTTGATCATATGAAAAATGATCTACATTCTCTATTTATATATTTTATATTTATATATTCACATATCGTCAATGTACATACGTATTCACAAATATTGATACATAGTATATATTCACAAATATTGATACATATCAATATTTAGTACATTATAATATTGATATCAATATTTAGTACGTACATACATTTACATAATTTACAAATATTCTATTTACTGTATTTTATAGTACTTACCGAAAACATTTCCGGAAGATTACGATTCAAAGAGAGTATTTTGAACTGGTCTTTAGGCTTTTAATAGACATTACTAGTTTCACAAGCCTAATTTTTTATTAATCACCTTTTATTTTAGAGTCCCAATATATAATTATTATAATTGTTCTTGTTTTAAGGAAAAAAATCGGTCAGCCTTTGGCACCTCAAACTATTCTGTAAATTTATCTTTTAATAATCATACTATCGAACAAAACTATGAAATTTTATCTAAAGGGACAACAAATCGGTTTACTAATGTCAGAATACACAAAAAACGGAAAATCAACCATTTCTTCAATTTCAGGATTTTTTTTTTTTTTTGGGATCACACTCTGAATAAGCAAAATTATCTGATTTTTTCATTCAAGATTTTTTAAAAAAGGGTTTCCATGTTTCTCTCTCTCTTTTTAATTATATATGTATTTACTATTATTTATGTAGTTGAATTTTCTATTTTTATGCGGGTTATAATCTAAGATTGTAAATGTAAAACAAAGATAAAATTTTTTATTCAACTATTTTATAAACTTTTATTATTTCTTTAACCGTTCCACTATCACTGTGAGGCTTGAAATATGGACTAGAGTTAGGCAAATTTTCCTGCAAGATTATTTAAGGGATTATAAGGTATTTTATTTAAAAAAACGATACTAATACATATCCCGATTATTAAAATTGGTATATTTGGCAAAATAAATTCTAATCGGTGTATTAACAGTTAATGACTTAACATTAAAAGTAGTACTGACATACAAAAAATATATACAATTCCTAAAAGATATGAGAACATTTTAAAAAATGAGTTAAAAATAGTTCGTACTGTTGGCCAATTGAAGTTAAACGTATTAGGCTGTATTAGGGATGGTAAAAAAAAACAGGTTTAACCATTTTTTCACCGAATAGTTAAATCTGGGTAGGATCATAATCATCAACTGTTGTTAATTATCCTCAGGTCGTATCAGCAAATAAGAATTACACGATAAAAGACAAGCATTAAAAGCATTACCTGCATATATTAATAATCCCTTCTCGACAACGCTAAATGATGCAAAGGATACATTACACCAAAAAAAAAACTCTATTTAACTTGAGACGCATTTAGAAAGAATAATCTATCACAACTTATTTTAGACATATTATTACTTATAAAATTAAATCAATAGCAATTACTTTAATCTTATATATGCATCGGTGTTGATTATAAAGTTTTCATTATACATTATACATGGAAATTCTAGAAATTATATTTGTTACGTGATACGCATAATTCTGTAATTACGATAATCGTACTGTACGTACGTATAGCAGCAACATATCCATGTGAAAAATGAATTCTCGTACACATTACACGATATTAAAAACTGCATTAAAAAGTAATTAATTCTAACGCAACTGGTTTTAACGTTCCCAAACAAGGAAATAAAAAAATGAGAAGATCGAATGCATTCCTAATTTATGATTATGATGGCTTTAAGTTGAATAAACATCTTTTACATTGTAATGCATGAAAAAAGTAACAACAAATAAATTTATGATCGTAAATTAGCCAGATAAGGTGCGATCTTTACGGATATCGAATCTCAGAATATCATGTTAATGACTCTAATTTTCGAATTACTTACTTCAATGACAAGCGTAAATGTTTCAATTTGTACGATTTCATTTGTACATTATTAAATCAATTCGTTTATAAACTTATGATGTAGAATCCAATATACAGTATAATTATTAATAACTATAACCCTAAATGCTAACTTAACTATGAAAAAAAAGCTGTCAAAAAAGGTCCTAAAAAATTTTAAAAATCGTATATAATAGATCCATATTTACCAACGGTCTTTCTTTAGTTCTTTACTAAGTTTCTGAAAATCTTCATACTTCGATAAAACCATAAAATCCTAAATAATCGTATATAATAGACCCACATTCACCATCTGATACAGCCATAAAATTCAAAATTTTTGCTTCCATCCTTTTTTTCCTTTAAGGCGGCAAAACCTTTAAAAAAATTGCCATGAGTCAACAACCTACTTTGGTTCCTCCTGCTTTGACACCTCCTGCCTTGGCACCTCCTCCTCAATTACCTGCTTTAGCACCTTCTCCTCCTCAATTACCTGCTTTGGCACCTCCTTCTCAATTACCTGCTTTGGCACCTCCTCCTCAATTACCTGCTTTGGTTCCTTCTTCTCAATTATCTGCTTTGGCACCTCCTCCTCAATTACCTGCTTTGGTTCCTTCTTTTCAATTACCTGCTTTGGCACCTCCTCCTCCTCCTTTGGCACCTCCTCCTCCTCAATTACCTGCTTTGGTACCTGCTCCACCACCCTTTGATAAACTTACTGCCGAACAGAAACACAAAATCTTAACTAAAGGTACAGATCCATTTACTGTACAAAAAACAGAAAATCAAGCAGTTCCTCATTTTCAGGACTTTATTTCTTCGGGATCACACTTTGGATAAAAAAACACGAGTTTTCACTAAAAAAAAAAAACTTTTTTTAAAAAAAGTTATATTTATGTATTATTTACATTAATATACTGTATGTGGTGGATTATTTTTAATTCCTTGATTATGTATTTTAAATATTTATGTATTATTTATCTTTATATATGTGGTGGATAATTTTTAAATCCTTGGTTATATATTTTACTTTTATACATTATAATCTTAGATTTTAAAGTGTAAAACAAAGATTCAATTTGATTCGAACTTTCCTTAAGCTCCCCCTGTCATTGCGAGGCTTTTATAAAATTTTATTCCCCTTAAGCTGCCTGCTGTCATTGCAAGGCTTTTATGAATTTTTAATCCTCTTAAGCTGCTCACTATCATTACATGACTTGAAATATCAACTATAAATAGCCAAATTTGCCTGTAATATGATTTAAAAAGATCTTAATGTATTTTTTATTGAAATTATATCTTAATAAAGTTTATGAATTTGAAAAATATGCTTAATATTAATTCTAACGCTTAATACAAGTTATTTTTTCAATTGACAAAATATTTACGTATTAAAACATTTAATTCATTGAATTACAAGAAAGGTAAAACAACAAAGGCGTCAACTTATTATTATAATAGATTCTCAAAAGTAAATTTTAAATAAATTATGTCTGAATGAATAAGTAAATAATTATGAACGTCATTATACCGATATTTTTTCTTGGCATAATTTGTATAACAATAAATAAACGTTCCACAAAAGATTTAAACACCGATAATAATAATGTTTACAGTAGCACCGCATAAAAAAGAATGTAATTGACCTTTATTGCTTTCTAAATTTATAAAGATCCATTACCAATTTATTTGCAATTTGATATTGTCAAAGATTTAGTAAGTAAAAATTTCAAACCAAAAATCAATAATTGTCGGGGATGTTTTAACTTGGTTTATTATGAATTTTTAAAAAATTTTTGGGGTCCGGTTCATTTCACCGACAATCAATTCACCAAGTTTTTTTTATAAATTTCACAAACCTTAATTTATAACCTGACCTAACAACAATGACCAGATTACTTTATCGGTGAAATGACTGTCGGCGAATTATACTGAACTTGTCAGTGAATTGATTGTCGGTGAATTATACTGAACTTGTCAATGAATTGATTGTCGGTAAATTGATTATAGGTGAAATGTATGGAACCAGCTTTTTTTATGAATTTAGGGTTAGTGTTTATAATAGATGAATTTTAGTAGGGTTTATGTTTTCAAATTAAGGTCACAGATTTCAGCATCATCCCCGACAATAATTAAAAGTATATATCAACCGATAATTAAATAGGAATATCATTATTTTCGTTTAAACATGATATGGATTCTTATATAAATCATGATTTAATACGACACCATCTATCATGTTAGTCCGAAACTGTCAATGGATTTTAGGTTCCTGCATTCATTGTACCGATTTTTTATACGTAAATAACATTTTACCATCATTGTTATTATAATATATTATTTATATAATATTAGGAGATTAACATGTTGTGTGACAGAACAACATTTATTGTTTATGTGAGTGAAAATCTGTAACCAATCATTGATGTGTTTCCAGGTTCCCACAAAAATTTTTCCACTTGTAATTTTTTGACAAATCGAATTTTAAGATAAAGTTTAACGTAAAAAATTGAAATTGACCCACTTTATTACAAAAAAAAAAGGAATTGTTCTAAATTTTTTATTAGGAAACCATCTTCTACGGAATTAAAAAATTTTCTCGTGAAATTCTATTAATAGCTGTCATATTTTTCTAACCATAACACTAACTATAACGCGGTTTTCTTAGATTTATTTTTACACGCAATTTTTTGCTTGGAAAAGTTTGTTTTGGGATTGTCTAAAGCCATTTGTACTACATTTTGGCCAATAGCATTTTACATGCTCAGTCAGTGTTATTATATTTTAAGAACAATGTAAAATAAAAAATTATTTTATAAAAAATATAAGTTTTAATATAACATAAAACTTATAATTAAATTTTACAAAATTTACATAGTAAAACCATAATGAAAACTTAAAATTTTAAAATTGTTAAAAATCCAAGTTTTAGTAATAAAAATATTTGTAATTTATACAATTAAAAAATTAGATATTTATATTTTATAATGTATAATTTTCACTAAGTTGAAAAAAACGCGTTTTTTTTGTTTTTTTTTGATAACAAGATTTTCTAAAAAGGATTTTATATGTAATTTACTATGAAATTGATCATCAGGCATTACTTTTGTTGGGTACTGTACGTATTACTAAAATTGGTCAGGTGACCATGGCTATATGGGTGGCTTTTTATTAAACCGAATGAAAAAGTACCGATCATGATCACAGACAGTATTACGTACATAATATTTATGTTACATTTATATTAATGTGATAATTGTCATTTTATAAGTCACAAATAAGTCATTAGTAAAGCTATAATTTTTAATATACAAGAACTGTTCGGAAAAAATAAGAATAATGATTTTCATATTTTGGTCACAGTAAAATATTGTATATTCGGTAATTAGAACCGTTATTTAAAAAGGTCATAATAATAAATACTGACAGGTTATTTTATTTACATAAAAAAGAATGTTTACTGTTGCATTTTTTTGGGAAAAGTTTAGCTGGCTTTCATCTTTTTTAATAAAACTTAAAAAATCGTGAACAATGTATTGGAAATTCTATTTTATATTCAAATCATTTAATATTATCATGTGAGTGCTACTGGAGCTTATTCGGGTAGCTTTAACCTGTGTGAAATAGAATACCTGAAGTATTTTTTCGTATAGTTACATTATGTCATTATACTGCATTGAAAACTTGTGTATCTTAATACATTTAAACTATTTAAACGACTTTTTGTTGTTCTTAATAAAAAATATATATGTTTTTTTTTTTAAAAAAAAAAATTCGAAAAAACCTTCAAAAAAACTTTAAAAAGCCTTTAGACAAAAACCTTTAAAAAAATCTTTGAAAACTTTTAAAAACTTTTTTATTATGACTCAGCCAATAAATCAAGCAGTCGGTCAACCTTTGACGCCTCCAAACATTAATATTCCTATAAATCAAGCGGCTGGTCAACCTTTAATGCCACAAAATGTCAATCTTCCTATAAATCCAGTGGTTGGTCAGCTTTTGATATCTCAAACTGATAATACTCCTGTAACTTCGTCCTTTGATAACCTAACTGCTGAGGAAAGATATAAAATTTTAACTGAAGGCGATGTGGATCTGTTTCTTAGTAGTGCTGGACAAAGGATCAGATAGTTCAATTCTAAGATGTTATTGTTTCAGAATCACGCTTTTGATAAGTAACAATTGTGAAATTATGATTTTTTTTGACCAAAAAAATAAGCTTAGATAAGATTTTCTTTTTTTCTTAAATCTTTATTTACTTTATGAATGCAATATATTTTACTTTTATACTTAAGGTTGTAGGATAAATTATAAAGCAAAGAAAAATTTTGTCCTACTTTTGTTATAATTACTATCATTATGAAACTTGAAATAATATTTCAAATATGGTTATATAAAACAAATTGTCCTACAAAGAACATAATGTATTTTATAAAACGATATATGTTTTGATTAATAAAATCGGTAGATCTGACAATATAAATTCTAGTTGGCGTATTAACAATCAAAGATTTCAATAAAAGTAGTGCTTAATAAGTAATTTTTATACGAAAGGATGAAACCCGCACAAAGGTGATAACTTTCTTGATGCTGATCTATACTTAATTAGGGTTTAGGTAGGATTTGCGTCAATAACGTAACTATTTTTGTGCGCGATCTGATTATCGGAAAATCACGGAATGGCATGAGAATTCCGCAATTTTCCGACCATCCAAAATACTTCTATGCTATTTTTTATTTTATAAAGTTTGGCTTTACTACAGTCACATACCATCTTTATTTTCTTTCGCTTTTTTTAGCCAATGGCTTTCACTTTTCGTAACTTTAATGGTTTAAAATTTTGCATAACGTTAAAACGTTAAAAAGTAAAAAAAGATATAGATTCAAAAAGAAATATAAAAACTCCGGATCAACCCGAATCTGATATCTGGGCAATAAGCGAGAAAAAATAGTATAGAAGTATAAATAAGAGCCGGGGAATAAAATCAATTTCTTATTGACGTGCAAAAAATATTTAAAATGAATGATATTGGAACTATATGGATCATTTTAAAATACAGGAGGGGCATACACTCTTTCATGCGGTTCGTTTAGGTCCTGACTTTCTTAACGTTCAACTTTATGTTAACCAGAGCCAGTGGGTTTTAGTAATAGCAAAAATGGCACTAGCGATATCACGATAACCATATCCACATCTGATCGAAATTGTTTATTTTATTTTATTTTTTTAACCCTTTCGGCATGATCACCTCAGGACGCCACTTGACGGCATTATTTAAGTTCTCCAGGCTGGGGTATTTGATATTTCCTTAAATGTCCGAGTATTTATTCTAATCAACCGGAATTTCACCGGTAGTGTTGTGAAATTGGTTTATTTTAATTCAATATATCTATAGAATTAAAATAAATCAATTTTGATTAAATTTAGTTATGTGTTTGTCGTGATATCGCTAGTGCTGCTTTTGATACTCCTGACTATGAAGATTTTTTGAGTTAAAAATAATTCGCAATGTTGACCAATTGAAGTTGAACGTGTTAAGTCATATTTGATCTCCACTGAAAGCAACACTACCGATTTTTACCTATCTCTAACAAAATGAACGAATAAATACCTGGAGTTGCTAAGGAAAAACCGGTAAGTGCGTATGAATTTAAAATTTCACTGTACTGGGCCTAGAGTTATAATCGGTATGAGTCATTTAAACGGAGCGACCATTCGTTATTCCGATATTGATAAATAATTTTTTTATAAGTTTTACAATACTTCTTTAAAAGCTCGGGTAGCTTAACTTTTTATGAAACGAGAGCAAATTTAACGGATGAATAATTATTAATGTTTTAAATAATGTGTTTGAAATTAATTAGCCTTTTAGTAGTGACGTGCAATTTGGTGATTTACTGCGATTTTAAGGAATAGTACTTATAGACTTTATAAATGTAAATTCCTTAGTAACTTTGTATCAGAATTGGGGAGTCATTTGGCTCCATACTTTTCGTGCTTTTGTATTCTAGTAACCGGATTTGTATTCCAGATAAAAATTTCACATATAGGATTATTATATAACATTTAAGATTGATCACACATCACTTGATTTATAGGTTGGTGAAAAATTGTTGTTATCATTATTATTTATTGTTACAGCAATACTGCTAATTTGTAGATTCCATATGACTATACCAGTGACAATGTGGAGGGTAAAAATGATTATTACTATTAATGTCTATTAGAAAATAAATAAAAGTTCGATATCAATTGTATATTTTTTTAAAATTAAAAATCGGGGTTATTTTTTGCATATTATGAAAAAGAGTGCCGAAGGTAATGTGATTTAATCTTTTCATTTATGAATTCCTGCTGATTAACCAGTAAAACAAAAGATGTACATAACCAATTATAACCGTGATATATGCTAGTTTTTGTATCCCAAATATTAATCTGTCTCAATTGTCAATTGAGATGGCCTAAACGTTAATTTACCAAATTTATCTAAATACCCGGCCTAAATTAGTTAGTTTATATTGGTAATTTAGAACAAATTGACATTTGGGTGCTGTCAAGTGATAATCAGGAATTCTAAATATAGTATCCCTCGGAAATAATATCCTACTGCAAACTTCTCCACCAATCACTGGTTCGTGAATAGTACTCGTATTATTCAATGTTCAAAATGTAATTCTTGAATAAGACCCCAGATTCTATAAGCAGTACTAAACGGTAATACGTGACCAAAAAACAGTATAATTTATTATTTAGTCAGTTGGTTAAAAGCCCACATTCCGTAAAGAATTCTATTTTTAGAATTACATAACCGAATACAGTAATCACAATGGTAGAGTCATACGTCATCAATGTGAGGTAAGATTACTAGAATTACAGGTAAAAATCCGGATATGGTGGTTAATGAGGTTTATTAAGCATCCACTTATTTTCGAGAACAATACAAACTCCTAAAAAGGGAAAACCAATCAACAAGCTCAACTTTTTATGTCAGCGCGACATAGAACCCGAACGCGTGTGAAAGAAAAAGAGCAAAGAAAGAGAAATACTCGAAGATTAAATGTTTAAACCGCCCTAATTAAAAATAAGAAATGTCAACGAATAAAATTTACATATAGGAAGTAACATTTTATTCCTATATTCCTTAACCTTAAATTTTTATCTTCACGTACTTGGTTATTTTCATACTAAATTTCCTGTTTTAGATTGTATTACTTTGAAACTAAATGCGATTACGATCTCAGAAGGACAAGATTTTGAGAACAAATTA